TCGGAGACCATCAGGGCCCAAATGTAGCTGCTCCTAATCTAGAACTAACGACCAGAGAGAGGGCAGCTAGCCAGAAGTAACCACTATCACAAGGGCTTTAACCGGCACTTTGAATTTAGAATAGGGGTTGACTCTCACTATTATTAGGAGTTTGTTTGTTTTTGAATTTCGCGCAAGCTACATGAGGGCTATCTGCGCCAACCGTCCCTAAATTAGCAGTGTAAGATTAGAGGGAAGGCAGCTAGTCATCACCACCCACCGCCAACTCTTGGGGTACTCTTTTACCAACGAATAGTGGGATTGACCGTCACATTATAACGCCCCCACGGCTGAAAGGGCGAGCATGTTTGGTGTGACGATGATTCGAACCCGCAACCATCAAATTCCGAGTCGAGCGCCCTAACCACCTGGCCATGCCGGGCCTTCGTTATTAGGAGTAAAGAGGAGAAAATACGGAGTGTTTTCAGCAGCACAACGTTTCGAACTTTGGACATTCGATTCGCAGCCCAGCACTAGGGTATGCCCGGCTCATTAGTAAACGCACAAGCTTTTTATTATTTCTATAAGTTCACAATTGACATCCTGTTCCATAGTTTGCAAATTTATCACTACTGTTATCCCAAATAACAGACAAAAATTATGATTCAACATTCAATGTCAGTTTTTTTTTTGAATTTCAATAGAATTTTTAACATTATAAAACCACATAAATTAATTACTGCATGGTGTCCAAGAAATCTTGTTATGAACCGGGTTTCGATAACATCATGTAGCTTTGTGCTTAACAAGAAACAAAAAATCAAGAAGCCTTTGGCATTTTGTGAAACTCCAGAACTTCCTAACAAGAGTATGCAGTAAAGCACACAATGGTGAAATGACGATAGTTGTACATTCTGATTACAAATGACTGGTGATACGAATAGGAAGACAAATATTTATATTTGGAAATAATAATTAGTTGAAATTAGTTCAAGTACCACTTTGTATCAAACACTATGATATTTACACATGGGATGAAATATAGAGCCAAACTTTCAATACTACATCTGAACTTGTTCTTTTTTGTTAACCCTACCGACAGATTTGAAATTATAAGTTATAGTTAGCATCCTTTCTGCTAAACCTTACAATGCTGTATAAAAAGTCTTTCATTTCGTTCACAGTTAAATACGGTCACAGAAAGTTGAAAGTTTGTTAAAAGAATCTGTATATTACGAGAAGTCGTGTCTTTGATAGTTGTATTAACTAGATTTGTATTTAATTTCTCAGTCTTAGGGATACAGAAATATAGCGTGTTTCTCAATGTCTTGAGCATTGCTCTCGAGTTAAGATTTAGTAGACTGTTCCTTTTTCCAGGCGAGTTTATACATTTAATCGATTCCACAGGTTCAAAGTGAAAGCATGTTTTGTTTAATTCTTGCTTGTAATCCAATCATACTTGATCAAATGGAGAAAAAACTAAATCCTTCTGTATCTTCTTCCACAATAAGGATTACAACCGAACCAATCTTCGTGCCACACAACCAGAACTGATGCAGCTTGTGCTCGCTTAAGGTACGTACACTATGTTCTTGTTTTCCTTTATGTAGCTTACATAAACCCTATTACATTAGACGCATTACTGTATACTGAAATCTCAATTACTGTCATTATAGAAAGAGCTGTGTTATCCAGATAATTCTCCGTGAGGTAGCTGGCTGCTACAGAGGCCAATATATTCTACTGAATATCGTAAAACGTGGATTTTTTTTTTCTGATAAATAAGATTTTTAGCCTCGGCATAACGAATCATAGAACGGCTCTGAGTTTATTTTTTCAAGTACAAAGTTTTTGCTCATAGCTCCGTCATCTCTTGGCCGATTTGAGATCTAATTACAGTTTTCAACTCGGGAGGTCAAACCTTTTCAATTAATCTATTTAAACACGCCCTAGGTTTCATAGATTAATTTACTCTATTCCTGCCTAAAAGAATTTCAATTTGAGGGTGCGCTGGTAGAGATCTTGGGGAGTAATAAAATCGGATCGGGTATATGCGCGCTCCACATTTAGTATTGCTGGCGCACAAAAATATAGCTAATAAAAAGGAAAAAAAAAGTATCATAAATTAATTTACTCTAATCCTACCTAAAATAAATTTAAGTGCCGCGGTTATTGAGGATTCCCTCTTGTTTTACAAGCAATACACAAGAAAGTATAACGAACCAAAAGTAAGAAGCAAATAAAAACGGCATCAAATCGATAGCACTGAAGAAAAAAAGGAGGAAAGTGAACGATGGACAAAATGACAAAACATTCATCAACTCCATGGCAAGAATAATATTAATGAAAACTAAATGAAAGAAAACAAAGTGAATTTCCAAATTCTCAAAAAATTCTAATAACGTTTAAACATCAATAGAGAAATTGTGATATCCCCAAGAAAGAAAGGATAACAGCCGTATGAGAAAGTAAACAATTTAACAGTTCAAAAGTTCGACAATTACTTTTATATCAAGGTATGTCAATATATATAACATGTGTGTGTATATATATATGTGTGTGAGTCTGTGTGTGTGTGCTATACAAAACAAAACAAAAGTTATGTTGTTACATTCTAATCTTTATGTTTATACTGTTTCTTACCAGGAATAAATTATAAAACTTGAAGTTTAAACTACTTAGCCCTATGCCGATTAATAAGGTTTATGTCCCACTGACACAATACGGAACAGAGAGGGTTAGGAACTGTTTAAACTCTACAGAATTAAGTTCTGTCAAGTTCATGTATCAGAGATAGTGAGTTTTTCAGAGACGTGAGGGTTGGTAAACGTTAAGTTCTATCTAGACGTGACGATACTGGAGATCATACTCAGAGTGTAAGCTATGTGAATCTTCGTATCTAATATAGCTTAAAGTTATCTTTAGACAGTTTGGTGATATGGACCTTAGAGATAACTTAAACTCTACAGGTTATTGTCGTTTTTTTTAAGAGTTTAAGTTCTATCTAGACATCGTTATACCGAAGGAGATAGGAACTGTTTAATCCATTCATTGTCGTTACGTTCTTTAACGTACACTAAATATACGAGATTGCTGGAAGCTAACAACTAATGTTTGTTTGTCCTGTATGTGAGGTATACTTTATTTTGTCTTTAATGTTACTTTCTTTAACAGTATTGGCTATAATGTCTAAAGCATGTAATTTTCTGTATTTCTTATCATTATACATTTATTTTCGGCCCAATATAGATATTTTTTTTTGTATTGTCAGCTTAGTATATAGATTTAGGACTAACCTGAATCTCCCAACTGCTAGCGAAACTGCGTGCTATGTATTTAGGACTAGCCTGATATCTCCTATCTGTTAGCTGAACTGCGTGATATGTATTTAGGGCTAACCCGATATCTCCCAACTGCTAGCGAAACTGCGTGCTATGTATTTAGGACTAGCCTGATATCTCCTAACTGCTGGCTGAACTGCGTGATATGTATTTAGGACTAACCTGAATCTCCTATCTGTTAGCTGAACTGCGTGATATGTATTTAGGGCTAACCTGAATCTCCTAACTGCTGCCTGAACTGCGTGATATGTATTTAGGACTAGCTTGATATCTCCTAACTGCTGGCTGAACTGCGTGATATGTATTTAGGACTAGCCTGAATCTCCTAACTGCTAGCTGAACTGCGTGCTATGTATTTAGAACTAGCCTGATATCTCCTAACTGCTGCCTGAACTGCGTGACATGTATTTAGGACCAACCTGAATCTCCTAACTGTTAGCTGAACTGCATGACATGTATTTAGGACTAGCCTGAATCTCCTAACTTCTAGCTCAACTGCGTGATATGTATTTAGGACTAACCTGAATCTCCCAACTGCTAGCTGAACTGCGTGATATGTATTTAGGACTAGCCTGAATCTCCTAACAGCTAGCTGAACTGCGTGATATGTATTTAAGACTAGCCTGAATCTCCTAATAGCTAGCTGAACTGCGTGCTATGTATTTAGGACTAACCTGACATCTGCTAACTGCTGGCTGAACTGCGTGATATGTATTTAGAACTAACCTGATATCTCCTAACTGCTGGCTGAACTGCGTGATATGTATTTAGGACTAACCTGATATCTCCTAACTGCTGGCTAAACTGCGTGATATGTATTTAGGACTAGCCTGATATCTCCTAACTGCTGGCTGAACTGCGTGAGATATATTATTGGGTTTACGTCCGGAAATATCGTTAACAGCGAGGGTGCCAAATTGGTCAAACAATACATTCTAATATTTATAAATATGAGCGTAAGAAAAGTATATTTAATCAGTTATATACAGGGTTGAGTTTCGTTTATGATATAAGTAGGTAGCTTGCTGAGATCGGATCATAATGTTAATTTAGTACAGTTTAAGTTCTCTACTCTATGTCGTTAAAAAAAAAGATTTAAACACTTTAGACCGTCGTCAGTTTCTAGAGTTTGAGTCCTACCTAAAATTCGAGACACGAAGTAATATATAGACAGTTTACATTCTTTAACGCGTGTTCTATGTTAAGTGGGTTAAAAGTGGCTTACTGTTTTGCGTGTAGGATGCGGATTAAAAGGTTCAGGGTTTGAGCCTTGGTAAGAAGCTGAAACTTTTATCTGTGGGATCGATATAAAGGAGCTAATCAACCTGTTGTTTGATCAATTAAGGTAGCTGCACAAGGGGGTGGCTTATTCTGACTGTTTTCTTTCCCTTTGGTCAGCAGTTCTAAGATAGGGAAAGTTATGTGCAAACTGCGGAATTTGTGACCTGACCTTTTAGGTCATGAAAGTACTAACTATCTCTATGTAGTTCGTGATGCTACCGAACTTTATCTTATTAAAATAATTCGAAATATTTAACTTAAATGGTTGCATTATCCTACGATTATAATCGATATTATATATATATATATATATATATATATATATATGTGATACACGCTTGATATACGAGCCATTCAATGCTAACCATTTTAGATTTTCGTAAAATATTTACAGCTTACCTTATACGTCTCTCTGCTGTAAATCTGTCTCCATTGCCACTGTATGTCTCCCATTGTTTACATTGTATGTATTGCTACTGTAATACTATTTCATTAGGTACTGGATAAATCTCATTGTTTGTACCTACTGAAGACATTTCTCCATTGTCACTGTATGCCTTCCCTTGCTTACATGGTATATCTGGCTGATGTTGCTCTGTATCATGCTTAGTGCACGCTTTTCATTGTTTACTTTTATGGTATTTCATACACGAGAAAAGATTGAAAATTTTCCACACTCACAACATTCCAGTCTAAACACTGGTCAGGTAGCTTCACACTTCGATATCAGTTTCGATTTCACGCTAAATATGAAACATTTCATAACACATTCCATTTCAAATTGCTCATGATAAAGAAGTAGAGGAATGAATGAGAAACGTTTACACTTCAGCTGTTCTTAGCACACAAACAAGTCGGAAAGTTCTATAATCACAAATCTTTCTAACTTAGAAAAACTAGCATCTCCTCGAGCAATTAGTTACCTTATCTTTAGAAGTCAAAAGTGGTCCAAGAAAATCAAGATAAAAATCATTTGTCATATATATGTTCATACTGGTGCTACAGTGAATTCCACGCGTTTGATATTTATTCTTTCAAAGACCAAACTCACGGTATAAAAAAAGTTTCTATTTTTCCCCCGAAACTATTCGTTAACACTTAAAAGAAAACACAAACTATCAGCTTCTTCTCTTTAAGCAAGCCACTGATTAAAAATGTTCACTAACTCCTCAGTCTCCTTACAGTCTTGAAGCTCAAATTCCGTTCTCACCGTGCATCTCACCTTTCTGGATCTACTGAAGAGACAATTCAGCTAATGGTATATCTATCACTTGTTTTAGGAGGCGGAATCACAAGCGCCATCTTCCGACATTCGGGTGAACTTCGTTTTTGATATTTCTTCAACATTTAAGAACACTAAAAATGTGTGCTTTTTAACGCCAAGAATATCATACTTTACAAACAATTATGAAATCATGTAATTTTCGTTTGGAAGCTTATCATTTGTATAATTCTTAATTAAAATGTAACGTAATCACATGAAATTTTTTTCAACTGTAAAACTTTGTCGCGTGGACATATTTGTAGAAAACTGAAGAAAACAAAATGAAGAATTTGGTAAAAAAATATTTATTTTAATTAGATTGAACTTTGAAGGTGTATTTTTAAATAACAGAGCCTTTTCATAATGAAAAATTTTCTGATTATGTTACAACTTCTGTTCTATGAATTGTTGTGAATATGGAACATTTTGTAACAAATTTTTTCTTTTGTTTTTAAGTCAAACAACTAGTATTTGACCCATTTCTATCTCATCGACTATTAACGTATAATGTTTAATATTTAACTAGGAATTTTTCTTCTCTGTTCTTTGATTCGCTATTCCCTCTGCAGTAAACAAGTATCGCCGAATGCACGCATTTTATTCAAATACCCAAAGCATTTAGGTTATTATTGATGTTTCCTTGTTTGTAGTTATGCACAAAGCTATACAATGGGCTATATATGCTGTGCTCATCACGGATATCGAAACCCAATTTTTAGCGTTATTAGCTTTTACATTTACCAGTGGGTATTTATCTTAGAAATTCTGTTATAGGTTTCTAAATTTGTCTTGAATATATTTAAATCACAAATAGCTTGAAGAAAACTCGACATATTTTTACACAACTAATAAAGTTCATTAGAATTTTCATTATTACGAAAAGTTCTTTTTGTTAAGTAACTTATATTTTACAGTTATTCTGTAGAAGGATGTGCTGTTAAGTGGTTTCATCTCTTTAGTATAACAACATTTTAAAAACTAAATCAAGTTTCTATTAAGATAAAACAATGTTGTAGTAATTAGTTTTTATATTAAATTAAGTCGATTTCTTTGGTTTTAATATTTTTGTATTAAAATGAGGAAAATAAGACATATATACATACACACAAAAAGAATTATCAACGTAAGAAAATACATTAAAAATTCCAAACACCCTCTTCAACAAGTTCATGAACGTAAGAACAATGTATTGACTTTTCCGTTTAGAAATGACTGTTTATACATATTTAGAAAACATTATCATACAAAGAAACTCAATAAGAATATTTATATGCAGAAATTTTAAAACATTCCCTGAGCGTGAAGAACTTTATGTGCCTTTTGTTGACAAAACTGCATAAGGACGCGAGGAAAAACTACATAATAACGTGAAAAGTCGTGAAACAGGGATTAGAATTTTCAACATGAACGACATTTTATACGCACGTAGGCTGAATAGGCTATTCAGGTTTATGCATAGCCACAAAAGAGTAAGTCTATCTTGAACTTATTAATACAATGTAAGATTACACCTCCCACGTTTTACCACGTTAGAAACAATATTCCATTTATGAATTAATTTATTTGAGCTAACAGTTACCATTTTACCTAGTATCAGCCAGTGTAGCATAGCCTTTCTTCTGCTCCAGACTTTTCGAATGGCATTTAAACGTCACATAATAATTCCGACAGAGGAAATCATACTAAAACCAAACTAAATAACTGCTATTTTTCTAAGCCTGTCTTTTCACTACGATGGAACTGCTCAGTACAGGATATTGTATATTGTTGGCTAGCCTATATACGATAAGCAATCTCAAGCAGCTGTAATTCTCAACACCGGAAGACATTCATAACATTAAAAAGTACGTTCGATATAAGTTTGGTAACTTTCTGCTCAGGAAGATGTTTTGAGGCCAAAATACAAACTTCAATTACATTTAGCCTGTACTCGACATTTTAATCAGTAATTTTAATATTTCTGGTTTCTGTAAAAATTCACATTCGTTTGAAATACTGAATTTTAGGTCTTTATATTTAAAATATGAGCATGCATGTTTATCGAATTTTTTACGTATTAGGATATAATAACTGGTGTCTATATTACAGTTAAGATATAATTATCCTGTTTAATAAAGGATTTTCATCAACTTAAACCTAAATGTATATTAGTTTGTTTGTTTTTTTATTCAACCAATTGATTTATCACACATCCAGCTAGATGACGATGGCCTTACACTACTAATGATGTCACTATAAATGATTAACCTTATGAAGTCACATGTTTTTTAAAAAGCCAGATATTGGCCTGCATTACAGACCTGTTATATGATGAACTTACTGTTTTCTGCATGTTTCATGCGTTTTCGTAGAGTGTTACAGAATTTTCGAACAGGATCCACCTTACTTCGTAAAACTACTTAAGGGCAGAAACCATTTGCTTTTTTTTCAGTTTCTGACTAGGTAAACAACATTGTTAGATATGTTAGGATACAATATCAACACCATTTCTACAAACAGTTCACACCAGGAGATAATAAAATAAATTAAATAAATATATTTAAGTTTCATCAGCACGGGTACGGCTTATTAAATATAATAGAAAATAAATAAATATAATAGAAAATAAATAAATATATTATAAAATAAATAACTATATTATAAAATAAATAACTATATTATAAAATAAATAACTATATTATAAAATAAATAAATATAATAGAAAATAAAGTAATAGAATAGACAGAGCATATACTTCACTACAGAAAATATCAAGGTCAGTTACATGGAGTGACAAGAAATATGAAAATTAATATCAGGTATCCAAACTAAGTCTTTACGTCATCAATTGTTACCGAAACTATCAACATTTAACATAAAACCAATTTTAAAATTGTTATAAAATTTTCTTTAGAAATAATTTTGTCTCTGCTATTCTACAAAATAAAAGACCTCGGCATATAAAAGTCTGCCATAAACAGGACTTTTAAATGAAGAAACTTACACCTACTTAAATTAAATCATTTTTGAAGCCTAAATAATTTCAGTAAGTAACATTACTATCAACCACAATGATTAGTAGTTGTGCTAAATAGGCTTCGTATAGGTGGGTTAAATGGGAACCGATAAGTCGTATCTCCCTATTGTATTGTCGCCCTCAATCAAAACCATGCTCCTGGGTCGTGCTGAATTCTCACAATACAGGGAGCGAAAAATATCTTGAATCTTAAGGAGCAAGCGGTCGATTCTCAGTCAAAGCTAGCTGTGCCAATCCTCTGGCGTGTGGGTATGTTGGGTAGTGTACACACACTGTGTAGACGGCTTATTATACAGTGTTTGTGATATGCTTTCCTAGCTTATCATTGCAACTAAGGTTTTATTAATTTCCTGTTTCTATATCCATATATATATATGCCTTTTGCTTCGAATATATGCTCTTTTCATGATTCTATAACCTGTCTTTCTAGCACGATTGACTTTTTAATGTACCATATAGGATCGACTTCTTTTGTCATATGTTCTGTCATCTTTATATAGTTGGTTTCGCTTATCATACAATAACCAGTCGTCTGACTCGCTTGATTTATTTGTTTATTATACTATCTTTCCTCGTCATAGCATGCTTATTTTTTACCGTACTTAGACTTTCTGATATGCTTATTTTTATTTTATTTGTTCATTACATCTTGTTTTGTTGTCCTATCATGCTTGATTTCTTTTATCACATCATGTTTAGTGTTGAACGTTTTTTTCTCTTCTTTCACACTAGGTTTAGTTGTCTTACTAAGTTTTAATTAAATTTGGAGAATAAATCAATACATTTACTATTAATATGTTAACTCTGTCTCAGAGTTAAATATGGTAATTTCATTATTAGCCTGCTTCTATCTAGTCACACGTGGCTCACGTCGAACAATTAGGCAAAGCATCTTCTCATGGGATCCGAAAACACACGTTCATCAGCACTTAATGTGGTTTTGTCTTGCAAACTGAAGAAAAAAGATTGTTTTGGTAGATCTCCATAATCACAAACAAGCTTAGCTTGAAGACAAATTATGCTAGCAAGTCTTGATTACCATAAAAAAGTGTGAATTTTTTAATGTAGCTTCACGTTTTTTTCTTTAGTTTTCTGTATTTTTCCATTTATTTTACTTTTTTTCGTTGTATTGGTTCTATAAAAGTACTGTTTTCACCTTTTAAAGTCAATATTTTTTATTTCTATA